GGTTCAGGTATGGATTCGTCACTCCTCTAGGCGAGAAGCAAACACAAAATTGAAACCGGGAAGATTCCACTCGTGGCACATCATTCCTATTAACGCTTATATGGTAGAGGCTGTATGTGGTAGTTTACCATAGGACGATAATATGAGACGATATGGAAAATCTTGAAATGCTGTGAAACACAGCATTTCATTTCTATTTTGGGATAGACGTATGAACAAGCTACGTCATGACGGTTATCTGAATGTTTCTCTCTTAACCGTGTACGTCGCCAAACAATTGTCCCTTTGTCATTACGATAGAATTTCTTCACTGAAACAATTGTCGAATGTGTCATTCTAGACGTAAAGTTCAGTAGGAGATATTGACTGTGATGTTGTTGCAGTGAGTAGCACGGGAAGCTGGCCTTGTCACCTGGCGGCTTCCGTATGTGACACAGTTGTGGAGCTGGCCTCCTTAATGCCAGAAAGTCATGAGGAACTCATGTGGAAGCTGCACGCAGGTACAACAACGTAGAAGTGGGACGGTATCGAAGATAACCATTTTGACTGCCTCAATTCAATCATCTTTAACTACCAGCTATTTGAGTTAAACAGGAACATAAGTTTCTAGTTGAAGTGCTTTCAACAACCTCTCTGATAAATAGACATAGAGGAGAATATTTCTTTTAACAGAAGATAGTTTGCACACTACTTCTGTCAGACAAGAATTGCAATACAGTACCGATACCGTTGTTCTCATGTAAGACGTTTTAATGATTGTGTGGTATGATGCGTTATCACAGATGTTTTACATGAATCATAACCTTTAATGGGAACCTGGCAGAAAATTTCCTGCTATTCATATGGTAAATCTGTGGAAATCATGCTCCACGTGAATGAGATTACTATATTTCTGTTGATGTCCTCAGAAAGCTTATGGAATGTTGTTCTATCATGCTGCCCATCTTACACAAACTTTCAGCCGTTGTTTTCAGTACATTTCAGTACTCGTTGTAGATTATGATTTTATGTGTTGGTGGTGTTGCTTCCTTACCCACGTATGAGCTGACTGACGCTCGTCACTGTGATTGCTTTATCGTAGACTAGTCAGTCAAACTGAACTATATTTTATTTCACAGCCTGAATTTATTACAGCAATAACCGATAACAAAAATAATAATTTA